CTATTTATTATATACTTGTACCTTTATCAGGGTTAGAAACCCAAAAGTAGCAGTTTTAAAAAATAGGATTATTTTAAAATTCCAAACATTTCATCAATTACTGAACAAATATGATTTTAGAAAATAAATAGACCATTCATATAGATAATATACAATTTAAGTCTTTCGTTTCGTATTATCGTTCTTGTTTCCTTCGATAAAACTGTCGACATGAACCGACACGAACCTCGAGTCGGCTATCTTTGTTTTGACAAGGCGCGAAATTTAGCGGTAAATGTGTATGCGGAAATTGAACTAGAGCTATTGCACGTCAGTTCCAGTCCATTTCTATTGTTTTTATCTGCGCAGTTAACACGAAGCTGGCAAGGATATATATATATATATATATATATATATATATATATATATATATATATATATATATATATATATATATATATATATATATATATATATATATATATATATATATATATATATATATATATATATATATATATATATATGTAACAAACAGAACGGCTACGTTTGAAGAAGTTTATTAAAAAAAGGTATATTAAATACAAAAACTAAATTTTCGGCTGCATGCCACAGCCTTCTTCAGAGTGCCTATAGCTTTACACAGAACATACTTACATACAATAAATTATAAATAAATTACTATTGTTGGGCGAAATCATGACTACCATTAAGGCCTTTCCGGTTGGTCAACAACATTCCTATCCAAAAGTTTTCACTCTCTTAAGTACTTCACTATGGTGTTGGTCAATAAGCATAAATTTTAAGCTCGAATGATCCGCCTCATGCACATCAATAAAATGATTTGTTATACTACATGTCCGGCGCTTATGCTTAATGTGTGATTTGTAGTTAGCTAGTCTGGACTTAAAATTGGCCGTAGAGCCAACACCTTGCAAACCACAAAGCACACACTCAGCAAGATACACTACATTACTGGAAGTGCACGTCAAAGATTTTAAAATGAGAAATATCCTTCCAGTGGCGGCTGCACGAAAGGAATTGCCAAAAATCAAAAAGTTCTTACAACTATCACAGCGCTTGGCATCACATTTGTAGCAGCCTTCACCTTCCAGTTTATTGGGCTTATATGGGTTAGATGGTGCTAATAACTCCTTCAAATTGGCATTACGCTTATACGAAACAAGAATGGCACCCTCCGGTAGAATTTTTTTGGCCTGTTCATCACTATCTAAAACAGAGCGATGTTTACGAAAAATTTTTTGAATATCAGGAGCACTAGGATTAAACTTGGTAACAAAAACACAGGAATTACGACGAACTTTACGTCTACTGGTACGCGCTTCCTCACGAGTCATAGCACCAACCACCTCAAAGGCTCTATTGACATGTGCACTGTCGTGGCCGCAATCCGTAAGATATTTCCTATAAATCCTACTTTTTTCCCAAAAATCAGCGTCCCTAGAGCATATGCGACGCAATCTCAATGCCACTCCTTTGGCAATACCCAAAATTTGAGATTTTGGGTGCGACGAATTGGCATTGAGATACAAGTGTGCGTCCGTGGGCTTACTATAAACTGTAGTTTCCATACGATTATTAACTATGGAAATCAAAAGATCGAGAAAATGCAAACTACGCCCACCCACATCCATAGTGAACTGTAGATGCGGGTCGAATGTGTTGAGATCCTGAAAAAACGCTTGAAGCCGTTCCATGGTACCCCGCCATAACACAATCGTATCATCTCGAAATCTAAACCAACATCTCAGTTCAGGATAAATAGAACGAGATTCTAGAACTTTTGTATCTATCTCTTCTGCGACAATATCGGCATATGAGCAGGAATTCTTAGGTCCCATAGCAGTACCATTTTCCTGCAGCCAATATTGCCCTCGATACATGGAACAGTTTTTCTTCAAGCAGATTTCCAAAGCTTCAATAACACACTCTATAGGCACATCGAAAACCTCAGCATATTGCAAAAGTTTGACCAACACCATAGTGAAGTACTTAAGAGTGAAAACTTTTGGATAGGAATGTTGTTGACCAACCGGAAAGGCCTTAATGGTAGTCATGATTTCGCCCAACAATAGTAATTTATTCATAATTTATTGTATATAAGTATGTTCTGTGTAAAGCTATAGGCACTCTGAAGAAGGCTGTGGCATGCAGCCGAAAATTTAGTTTTTGTATTTAATATACCCTTTTTTTAATAAACTTCTTCAAACGTAGCCGTTCTGTTTGTCACATATGAAGTCTTGTCGGCTGAGCAGAGTACTGACATTTGTCACATATATATATATATATATATATATATATATATATATATATATATATATATATATATATATATATATATATATATATATATATATATATATATATATATATATATATATATATATATATATATATATATATATATATATATAACGCTCATTGACCATAACATGGATGCAGAACTGAAGTTCGAGAGCCACAAAACAACACTGTCGCCAAGGGGCTAGCCCTAGAACATGCTTTTTAAAGGTTTTATAACAACCAGTCTCATTTGTCAAACTGGAGTGGTTCTTGTATGTTGGGTACTTAAAGTTTCTCCCATTCATATTCAATGTCAGACTATTTTAAATGTACAGTAAATTAATTTTTCTCTATCGTTCCCGGTATTAAAGATATTACAATTCATTTCAAACAAAATCATTATGCATTCCGCCGTCACAACCAGGGTATAAACACTGTTTTGTATGTTGAGCAATTCTCGGGTCGTTAAATTAATGCTAAATCTTATTTTTACCATTACATGTTTTAGATTAAAGCACAAGTTACGTATAAGCTTTCCGCTGATATTATTTTTTTAGTTTTAAAATGTCTACCCTGGTTGTAACGTCGTTTAATTCGATCTAATTTTAAAAGAAGATGGCAGATGGCAGGACGTTTTGGCTCTAAATATCACAAAAATTAGGATAACAGGGCTCGAAATAACGAACGGTCAAATTTGTATGACGCCGGTCATAGTGACCGACCACGACTACATGTAAGGATTTTCTTCGTATTAAACTTTTCATTCGAATTAGGTTGTTGAATTTCGTATGCCGACTGCTGGTCAGATAACTTATAACAGATCAAATTAAGATATGATGAAGTTTATATTTAAAACGTTTTATACTACGGGCATCTCGACATCAACAGCATCGACAGTCACATTTGAAGTTAAGAGGATACATTGAGTGAGCAATGGGTTGCAGGGAGGCGAGTATTCATGGGTCTCGTGGGAGTTGACCGGTCAGAAATTGCATTTGACCAGTCACAATTGACCGATCACCATGACCGGCGTAGCGATAAATTAAACGTTATTTTAAGCCCTGAGATAGTTTGGAAAATGTGTAAACAGGATTTCCAAATGATAAAGAAAGTTCTTTTCCTTATAGTCACGTTTAAGTTTTGTAAATATTTTTCATCCTATTTGCGGTTCTGAAACGTGCTGTATCCTCATCATGCATTTTCACGCAATTTATGTAAATATTGCGTATACTCACGTTTTGCGGTCGCTGTGCCCACATCGTCCTCTAGCCTGCGAACAGGCTCTCTTTGAACTCTCCTTGAAATTTGAGAGAGAGCCTGCAGGCCTAGCTAATAAAAACGCGCCTGTGCGTTGCTTAGAACGACGCAGGGTTCCCATTGGTTGAAATTGAGTAGTTGGTTATTAACTGCCATAAAAGGTAGTGAAATTTACACAACAATAGATTCAAGGTGTCAACACAAAGTGCGGAAATCGAAAAATATCGTTCTATAGCGATAACAAATTTATTAGACGAGTTGTAGAAAACTAAATTTTTGTTTAAAGTTAAAGGATGGGCAGTCAAAAGCTCTTAACATTATTCTAAACGGAAACGATGTTTTTGCTGTATAAAAGAGTTTGGCAAATACAACGGTCAGCGGCAACGTTCTTATATCAACAATAGCATCTTTACTCTGAGACAAAGGCGACTATAATTTGCATTCTTGACCATTCTAGTACGCCGTAGTTGTTCAAACTCAAGTCGTTGCGGTGTTTATGTGAATTCACTTACTATTGCTACTTCAGGGAATTTTAGGGTTCTTTGAAAGAAAGACAAGTGCTTTTTTAAAAAGTTTTCGCTCAAATACAAAAGTATAAGTAATACTTTTGGACTTCCATGTATCTCCGTATGTTACTTTTAAAGAAGCATTGCAACAACGGCAAAATTCGTTCACATGTTCATCCATTTTTTGCGTGTAAATGTTTTTGGAGTTTCTTTCCAACTTGACATTACAGGCTTGTTGTAAACAATCATGCGTTGAAATCGAGATTTGCGTTTTGTTCACATATATTCACAGGCTATTACATAAGGCGTGTCTGTATTAATTTGTTAATTGTATTTTACATTTGATTGACGACACTATAAATAGTGATGGGCACAGACGTATTTTTATTGACTAAACCGGCAGGCTCTAATTCAATTCAAAGAGCCTGTTCTCAGGCTATACGTACTCTAGACGTTCCTTGACATTGACTAATACGTGTCTATATTTGCAGGTGTTTTTCCCGATTCCATTTGCCTACTTCAACCCTGAGGTAGTGTATCGTAACAAGCCGAAACCTGAAAAGATAGAAGTAAGCAAGGACACAGGTATCTGGGACACGCAGGCGTACGACCTAATCTGTTTCCGAAACCAAGACTACAAAGACCTTCGAGTTCATCGCGACTCGTTCCTTCAAGAAGGTCTTTTGGACCAAAAAGACGTCCTTAAAATATTCCAAGCGAGCACGCTTCGCATTTTCCGTGCCACGGAACCAGAGTTGCGAAGAATTTTCGAAAAGAAATCGTGTCGCGAGATTACTGATCGTGTTGAAAACGAGAAGTGTATGGACTTTTTAAGAAAACGAATGGGAACGCGATCACAGCTTTCGGCCATTTTACTAGAGAAGGAACCTCAAATTCACTAACGCATTGTGACTATTTATATTTATTTTTCGCTACAATAATGATGTTTCTTCATGGGAAGTGCCAACATATGGATTTGGGAAGGAGTTAAGGTCCGGACTAAACGTCCCTCTTTTCTCATGTGCAGAACCTAATAAAATTCGTTTGTTTTACGTCGAACTTAATATGTCGCTCGCAATGTAAATAACGATTTAACAAAAATATGTAAAATACATGGAAATAAATAAGATAAAAAATAAATTACGATAATTTATGGATCAGGTTCGCATAGTGGGGCAAGACACGTCGCTCCAATTGTCTCTGTCGTAAAGTACCAAATCCATTCTGCTGAAATTAATTTAATCAAACCTTCCTCTTGTGTAGCACATTAGAGCATGAGAAAAGCGACGTTTGATCCAGACTTTAATTTGCTTTGAAGTGCGAAAATACAATTACAAAAGCACTTACCATGAAAGAGTTTGTATATAGATACTGAGATTTTTCTTCCATATTCGTTGAAATACGTGCTGGTCTTCATCAGGATGTTATACTACAGCCTGTATGATGAGCGATGTAAATTCCTAATTCATAAAAAATCGTATGCGATCTAGGAAAATTTCAGTGCAAAATGTCAACATACGTACAATCTTGCGCAGAAAGCATGCAGTTTATTCAAATAACAATAAAAACCGCAAGAAAGCGATAAGTTACAATTAGTCTTCTCACGCCGCCATTTTTGGGTGGCTTATACTGAGTTTAAACTCATACTGAGTTTAAATGCGCATATGCGTATTGGGTAATAGTCCTAATTGGAAATACCAAAGTGGGATATCAGACTGTGTTTTGTACTGAATATGTTTGAACTTAGTATCTAATTTAATACTGTGTATGTGGTGCATGATAATTTAAGTACATTCATTATCAATATCCATGTATTATGTGTACATATAGCATTATAGGTAGAACGCCCCAAATATGATTTTTTTTACATCGGTGATATTTGGGTCATTCTAAGAAGGGAAGATGTAATATAGATAAAAAATAGGTACGCAGTGCGTACATGTTGCATGCCATCTGAAACTTATGATGCGCTATATAGCCTATAGCGCTTATAACCTTTGGTACAACTGGCGTGAAACTTAAAATATTGATTCAATAAGTTTAATATCAATATATTTATTGAAAATAGCTATTATGTCAAAATAAGAAAACTTAAGATTCTCACACGAATTAGCTTACGGTGTAGACCCCAGCAGAAACACGCGAATAGGCAATGTTTTTATAAGCGACCGTTAATAGTTAGTTGCAAGCGACGGTAATAATAACACTAACAAGGTCCGAGGTGGGTTAAGGTTTTATCGAAAGCGATTGACTGTTAGATTTCCTTCACAAATTTATAACTAATAACGTTATTTCCTTAAGATTAAGCTTTATTGTAACTTTTTAAAGGAAAAATTACTATAATAGATTGAAAATGATTATTATTTATCATTTTGACGCTTTGAGTCACAGAATAGAAATTTGAGTGATTGAAATGAGTTAATTTACACTATATCGAATGTCATGTTGAATGTCATGTTGAATCTTCTGCGTACTTCACAATGGTTGCTATTTCATGTTATTTACAAAATGTGCTATTGTGATGTAGTTTTGAAGCTTTGCACACAATACAGACCTCTCAACTTTGCAGAGAAGTTAAGAGTGAGATTGAAAAAAATTTTTCCGGAAAGATTATTTCGGCGACCTTCCCCCCCCCCCGTCGCCAAAAAATTTTCGAAAACACAAAATTTTCGAAAAATCACAAAATTTGCCAAAAAATTGACTTATTTTTAGACAAAATTTACAGAATTTGTCACATTTTTTTTTATTGCAACCCAAAATTGCCCGACTGTTGATCGAATATTACCCGATTGCCCAAAAAAATTTTTATGCGTTAGATTTACTAAACGTGGCGTGAGAGAGAGCGTGAGACTGAAGCGAATTGCGTGAGACTCACGCCGAATGCGTGAGAATTGAGAGGTCTGGCGTGAGAGCGTGAGACTGAAGCGAATTGCGTGAGACTCACGCCGAATGCGTGAGAGTTGAGAGGTCTGACAATATATAAAGGGACCTTTAGCAAATAGGTGACGGGCCGACGGCAACGCGACGACGACGGCTAAAACAAACTCGTTCAAATAAGTAACTTTAAGAACATGTTTGGTATTATCCGTTGTATCAATTTATTGCAGTTTAAGAAGGTTAAGACAGAGGTTTATAGGTGAGAAGGCTTCTACTAAGCCAATTTGCCGAGGACGACTTCTCGATGCTTGAAAGGCAGACGTTGTATACAAAACGTGAAAATCTTTGTTTTGCTGTTGTAAACAGAGCAAGGACGACGTCTAAAACTCCCATGGGACCTTTAATTATGCATTTTCTTTCTACACTGTCATAAATTTCATTGTATTAATAGCCGTCGCCGTCCTGTTAGCTAAAGGTCCCTATAATCAGTGCGAGCACAATGGCTCCGTTTCAGTTTGAATATATAAAAATCGAGCATTTTGATAGCGTTGGTCTTTGAGGCTTTCACGATATATAAATATATTAAACGCCTCATAATTGATAAATAATCAGTGCGAGCACAACGGCTGCAAAATCACAACAAATAACAAAATACAAGGTAAGTTAAAACAGTAAAGCTTTACCTACCTCGATTTATTTTTCTAAGGCGCTCAATTATGTAAATTTTCGGCGAATAATCAGTATTTCTTTGCGTTTCCTCGACGAAAACCCCGCATGAAAATGCTCGTCGGAAAAACTCGGTATTTTGCCGTACACTCGTACTTTACGAATCTACCACGTGATTTACGACCGGTACGCACACTGAACACGACGACACGAAATTTAGAGCTATATGAAAGTTGCATGCCATATATGGCATGCAACAAAAACCTCATTTTGTCAAATTGTCTAGCCTGCGAACAGGCTACAAATTGTCAAAATCGCCGATCCATCCGTCAACATGAATATGTATTCTTGAAAACCGGCTTAAAATTTACATAGAAAGGCTTTTTAAATTAACAGCCCTGAAAACTTTCAATTAATGCATTTATTCAGGTAATAAACACGGGTCAGATTTGGTTGGCAGTTTATCTCAAGGTAGCGTTCCAGTTATATTCGTTTCAGTATTTCACTCCATCCAGCAGCTTTAACGGAGAAAATGTTGATTAAGATGAGGTTTTTTTACTATAAAGGTATATTACATTTCTTCTTACCAAATATTACATATACCAAAAATCATATTTAACCGTAGTGTAGGGACTTTAATTTTTTGCTTTTGAAAAGTTTGGAAAAAATACTTGAGCCATGCAGGTTGAGTGGAAAAGCTGCTTGGTATGTGTATAATACCTCGTACCCAGGACGAACGGAAATTTCGCAGAGAAATGACCATGTGTGTCCCATCCACTGATCTGAAATAAGACTGGATAACGCATCTATAGTATACAAAAGTGAAGCCGGAAGTCACCGGCCGCCACCCAATTCTGGGGTCCCACTTTTGTATAGATTTGTATTACAGATGGTAGTTTTTCCCGTTTTTTGCCTTGGTTACGTTTCTGACCGGGCCAGTTTTACAATCACAGAGATACAAGCATACAAGAAGAATTCTGAGCAAAAAAATTATTATGGCTTTATAACGCCGCGAAACGGGATTTACAATTTTGAACTGAGGAGTGGAGAGCCTCAGAGTTTATCAACACGAGCTCGTTTTGCTACTTTCATACAAAATCAACTCAAAATATACAAGAATTACGGTTACTGGACGAATTTTCTCAGGAAATTTGAGGAAATGAAGCAGCTACATTGTGAACAAAAGCGTACTGAGGTTACAGTAGTTTTACAATACCTTGACTCTTGAGGCTACTTTTATAATTATATGAACTATAAAGGAACAGTTTTACTGTATAAATGTCAATTTTGTCATGATCAAGAGCATTCCCTGTCGACAAGTTTTATATGTTTTAAAGTAGGAAGACAAGTGACAATCAAATATTTTTTAATCCAAATTAACAATGACTCAATATAATGTTATTTTAATTCATATAATAAAAATAGCCTCAAGGTATTTTAAAACTAACCTCTGTACGCTTTCGTTCACAATGTAGCTGCTTCATTTCTTCAAATTTCCTGAGAATATTCGCCCAGTAACAGTAATTCTTGTATATTTTGAGTTGATTTTGTATGAAAGTGGCAAAAAGAGCTCGTGTTGATAAACAAAGTCTGAGACTCTCCACTCCTTCAAAGTTGGAAATCCCGTTTCGCGGCGTAATAAAGCCATAATACTCAATTTTTTTTCCTCAAAATTCTTCTTGTATGCTTGTATCTTTGTGATTGTAAAACTGGCCCGGTCAGAAACGTAACCAAGGCAAAAAAAAACGTGAAAAACTACCATCTGTAATACAAATCTATACAAAAGTGGGACCCCAGAATCGGGTGGCGGCCGGTGACTTCCAGCTTCACTTTTGTATACTATAGGTGAGTTATCCAGTCTTATTTCAGATCAGTGGCACCATCCTCGTTCCCAGGGCCTCGGTCGCGCGCGTCCTCCCTAGGCCCTGGAACACACGGAACAAGAAGTGCAAGAAAACTTGCAGTAGTCTCTAAAGCATTCTCGTACCCAGAGCCAGAGACCACCTCGACGCGCGGTCAACGGAGCGCGACGAGGGGCTCTGGCCAAATCCACATAAAACTGGCATCTGATTGGCTACAACGAAGGTTATTGTTCTAATACCTGATATATTCTTTTACCATGTTTTTGTGGTATCCAGTTTTGGATTTGGCCAGAGCCCCTCGTCGCACCACGCGTAAGAAGGGCTCTGGGTACGAGAATGTTTCTAAAGCGCATGCTCTTGTATTGGGATGTTTTAGCACCCGTAAAATTTTCACAGTGAAGTTTTTTCGAAGGGGCGAATTATTTGTGTTGACATATGTTGATAGAATAATTTTGCCTAGCGAAAACTGCTCAACTTTAATTTGCAAAATAGCTGTTATCTGAAAAGCCAATCAGATCTCTCCCTTTAGTCGTCTAGCTAACCCAGAGCCTAAATTTTACCGAGTGAAAATGGCTCTGTGAACGAGAATGTGTGTGTCCCTGAGCATTCATTGCATGTCATCAAAGTAAGGCTCACGTATAATATTGTTTTTTTGGCCCTTTAGCGCAGTTCAAACAAGTTGGTCCAATGTTCACGCTTTTTTCGTTTTCGCCCAACATTTCCCCTGTGCATTATAGTAACATAAAAGCAAGCGCTCGTTTTCTGTTTCTTGGACAATGATGTTCAATCTGTTTTGTCGGTCTTACATGAAGTACTTACCAGATTTATATTCCACTACCGCTATAGCTACCTCTGGGGAAGATAGCAACACAGAATACTTTATCCCACTTATACTTGTAGGGTATGAGCTTCCCAACCTACCATGCTCAAATATGAACAGGACTTTAGAACCTGTGGATATGATCCCACTAATCGAGAAGCATAATATACATAGCCTTTTAATTTTTGACTTATAACTGGTTGCCCAATTGGCCCCCCCCAGTGACATTGGTTCTGTCCCTGGAAAGATAGCCTCAGTCGTAGAAAATGGCATTCCTACGACCCGCGCCTAGATATTCAAAATTTCTAACTGCCCAACTCAAACCGTACAATCACATGAACGAAATCAATCTGATTTGCGTAGTTAATATAGTTATAAAATATGACTCTCACTTTAATATATTTTGCGCCTTTGGGCAAGCCTTGACAGCCCGCATTTTTCCTATTTAGAGGAAGAAAAAGATTTTGCCTTTGCCCTTCCAGTGAAAATTCCTTAAAAAACACTGTTGTATATAGCATTAACAATCTGTTCATATCGTATCAAGAGATCATATCTATATCCACTAGCCCGGACGAAATTAGAATTACAATCTGTCTTAATAAAAAATGAAACACGTCAAATAATGAAACAATAAAAGATAATTAAATGATGAAACAGTAATAGAAATAAATTACGAAAAAGGTCAATGCATGTTAGAACACTTAATTATATAATAAATATTCCAGGGCAAATTAAGACCAGGTCAAACGAAAACAAGACTCATGACAAGAGTTACATGAGAGTTGTTGAGAGTTGTCTTGACTGGATATTATCGCGCTACAACGAAACCTCTTATCAGCTCTCATTAAATTTTGAACCAGTTCAATGAGAGTCGATAAGAGTTGGAACTCAAATGCAAGCATGCAAGAGTTGCAACTCTTTGTTAACTCTCATATCCTCATTTGTTAAAACCAGGACAGTAATATAATATAGTAATAATATCAATGCCAGTGATAGGATATTACCAGCAAAACGTCGATTCATTTCGAATTTGACTGTGTTAATCCACTTGGCAACGTCCAATGCATCACCTGTTAATGCTACGTGTACCAGCCTGAGTGTTAATGTTTTGGGCTACTTTATTTGTATATACGGTTATATTATTAGTTCGTCCTTGCATGTACTTGGTTTAGAGTCATTTTGAGAAATATTCTTTGATATACAAAAGCCTGGATCAGTGCATGTGTATGTAAAACGGGTCTCAATGATATATATAATGTCTAAGCGAGCTGAGTTGTTTAGAAAATGTACTTGATTATTTACATTTAAATGTATTCAACAAGTTCAACAAAGGACAACGGGTCGAGATGGGTTTGAATTCAAGAAGACGTTTATATTCAACGACGTTCGTTGTTATTACGGCAACTGTGTATATCACTGCATTTGTGTTATTGTTTTCGCTGTCCGCTCCTGAGAACGAAATCGCCGTGGACGACTTGGAACGGTTCGAGCGCACTATTCAGACACGTGCCCAAGACAAGAAGCACGCTGGAATAGTTCGTCAAAATATACGAGCTTTTGAAAGCAGCTACTTGGCTGTAAAACCACGAGAAAGTAAAGAAATATACAAAGAGCAAAACGAGACAGCATTAAAAAAGGAACTATTTAAGAAATACAGTTTTAATGCCTTGGAAAGTTCTAAAATTGGACTTGAAAGGAAGATTCCTGACAATAGGCGTAAAAAGTAAGTGATGCGTATAGTTTATCCAGTTGTACATCGACAGTTATATGTCAGAAAGTACTATCACTTATTTCCATCTGCCGCTTACTTATAAGCTTCTAACTAAAGTTCACCTTAATTGTTTACATTACCTGTTGATTGTTTATAATTGTATAACATTGTTTTGCAATTCGTTTTTTTCACTTTTGATTTGTTTTGATTTATTACGCTTGTTTTATCGTAGGTTTCCAAAGAGGTCTTTTGTTTTTTAACAAAATCCGTATAATTGCTTCAAAATGCAATGCTTATATATTCTCGCTTGATTAATCTAGACACTATATAAAACCTCCATAATTCGTATTGCATGAAGTACTATCTTACACAATGCATGTGTGTAGCGTTGTCTCGTATATTATTTCCCAAGGTGCATGTATGGCTATCGGTTTTTAACCAATCACAATCGAGTAAGTTGATTAAAATGATATTAAAAAGAACAATAACCCTACGGTTTTATGAAGTATACTGTATATACATGCAACTATTTCCCCGGTCCCGAGCAAAGCAGAAAAGTCGAATACGCGAGTGCGATCAATCAATGAATGAAAATCAATGAATTTTTTAGCGATTCCCAGCAAGCCTTTCGCACTCGTATTCAATTTTACCGCTTTGCTCGGGGACAACCTTAATTGAAATAGCTGTTATATCAACCTCGTTCCCATGCAGGGCCTTTGTGTGAGGACGATCTTCTCTAATTTTCGACATGTCCAGAAACGTTAGCTCAAATTTAAATATATATAATATATATATAAATAATATATATATATATATATATATATATATATATATATATATATATATATATATATATATATATATATATATATATATATATTAAGATGAAAATGTTGTGGAGTGTGTATTATATAATTTCCATACCCAGCGCAAGCAGAAAGATATTGTCTGCCGCGGCTGGGTCTTCAACCCGCGACCTTCGAATTACTAGATCGACGCTCTACCAATTGAGCTACAAGGTCAGACCGATTTAAGACTGGAAATTATGAAATATATACTGAATGTCATAAACATACTCGTTTATATTAATTCAGCATCGAACAATACTAGTTCTGCAAGTGGTATATTACATCGGAGAAGGGGTTGCTACGAGATAGGGCTGTAGCCCTGCCCCCACCCACCCAATCATTTTTATGTCGGGCGGATTCATTCTTTCAATCGGATAGATTCTACTTAATCATCGGACAAATGATAAAAGTTTCGAAAGCATTACGCGCGTGTTAAAATTGTCGAAAAAGCAAGAAATGTACATGTGTAATGTTGGGAAAATTTCTCATCTACATGCATCACACACACCCGTACGCCTATGGTGTATTACATTTCTTCTTAGAATCACCCATATATTACTCATACAAGAATTATATTTAGCGTTAGTGGCACTTTAAGACCAATTGAAATTCTGCTTATTTTAAAGGTGTTTCACTCTTCAATACCCAGTAATCTTACCAACAGCAAGTGTGATAATTATCTTTCACAACGAGGCATGGTCAACATTACTTCGTACTATCCACAGCGTTTTGTCGAGATCACCTTCCGCATTCCTGAAACAAATAATTTTGGTGGATGATTGCAGTGATACTGAACATACCTTTGGTAAGTTACCATGGACGCCATAATTGGAGGTGCTAGGGCTGAAATTTTTAAATTTTTAAAGTTTAAAAACTTTGCAATCTGGTCGTTGCTATACGAATCGGAAGAGAGGCGGGGAGTGGGTGGTGGGAATAATTCACAAATGGACATTTCCTAAAATATAGTGAAGGAACTAATTTGTCTATAGTGTGCTCATTATACTCAGGGGCGCCGGTGCCATGCACGGGGGCTGCGGGGGCAACTGCCTCCATTGCCCAGAGGCAGCACGGGGGCAACAGGTTGCCCTTTTTAACGGAACTGCACTTGGAAATTCGTGCTTTATTCACAGGAATTGGAATTTGTAACTATTTTTAAGCAATGTTTAAGCAATTATTGCTTAATTTTTAACCGGTTGTAGTAAAATTAATGCTAAATCATGCAATGTACGTCCGTTTACTGATTTTATTTTGCACCATTAGCACGGTGCAACGAATAAAATTGTTCAAAATTGGTGTTAAAGTTTGCCGGCCCATAATAGTCACAAGTAATCGAGTATCCATGCAGTAAAGTTTTAAAAAATATTGCCGCTCAGAGAATGATGGCTGAGAAGCAAGTGCCCTTTTGAAGTGGCTGCCCCCGCCGCTTCACATTGCTTCCGGCGCCCCTGATTACACTGTACTGTTGAAGTTCTAGTTGGCACGTTGTTTAGAAAAGTAAAGCGAGAATATATGGCGATTTTGTGCGTGTTTTGTAAACTATTAATAGTAATAATAGTATCAAGAAGTGGGATTTGAATTTCCCGTGCCACTATTGTATTTACATAAGAATGATTAGCTAAGAGATGGATATAATCTTGAACTGTCTGTGCCAGTGTAGCTGTAGGCACTAGGTATAGTGACAATAATGTGAACAAGCTTTCGCTGGTAATTAATTAAGATGCAACTACCTGAAAAAAATGTAAGAAGAATTTCGATTTTGAGCGAAGCTCCTTCGTCTGGAGTTACTCAATAAGTCTAGACGAAGGGCCTTAATTCGCCCGAAACGTCGACATTCTCCTTATATTTTCGGCCAGGTAGTTGCATCCCTACCAACCAAAGCTTGTTCATAAGAGATGGATATACTCTGGAAACAAATATGAGACCATTGGTGTGAAAAATAAGCAGGGTTCCAAGAGGGGGGGAGGCCAGGGGGGGAGATTGTCCCGGGCGTCCACCTTAATAGGACCCCAACTTGAGAGCTAGAGCCTAAAATAGAGTAGGTCCTTTAGATTGGTCAGAGCATTTTTGAAATTGAGGACCCTTTATAGTAGCTCCACATGGAATTTACCTAAGGTCTATTTGGGTGACTGAGTTGGGTCTAGCTAGCTAAAAAATAATGATGTCATAGGCCCTGAAAATAAGTCACAAACAAACATGTTTCCAGGAATCATACGGCTTTCAGGTGCTTGGTGAAGAGAATGGGCGAGAAGGATGTTTTAAACGTGGCGGTTAAAACGCGAAAGAATCAACAACAGCATGATCTATGTCCAATCATAATTAATTCTAATGTTAACGCTAAGCTAAAGCAAAATTTGAGTTTAAATTTTGAATTACTTTGAACACCATTTTTAATTTTATATTTACCAGAGCACTTGGGATCGAGATTAGACGAATATCTACAATTCTTACCCAAGGTTCAGCTGTTGAGATCTCCCCGACGCGAAGGAATCGTAGCAGCTAGAATGCGTGGAGCCAATTTAGCCAGAGGGGATGTCCTAGTATTCCTTGATTCACATTGCGAGGCTAACAAGGGATGGCTAGAGCCTCTACTAGCCAGGATAGCTGAAGATAAGAGACATATAGTTACACCTGACATTGAGGTGATTGATTTTGAGACATTTAAATACGCCGAACGACATGACCCTAGTATTGGAGTATTTAACTGGGAGATGCTGTTTAAATGGCGAAAAATGAATGCATATGAGAAAATGAAGGAAGTCCAGGGATTACCTTTAAGGTTTGTAAATAAAGAGAATTATAATAATATCAGTATTCAGTAGGATATAACAGGTAATTTTAAGGCGGACGCACGTGCATTATAGCGCAATAATGCACTGTGGCCCGTGACCCTGTCTTGAGTTTTGTTCCATTATGTGAAAAGTGTCACTCAATCCTCTATCGACAGTTATGGATTTTCTCCGAGTTCTCCGGCTTCCTCTCACAAGGAATTTGGTTGAATTTGCACCAACCGTAAGTTGGGATTAGCCCCTAACTCACCTACCACCGAAGCTGTGCTTCGTAATCAGAATGAATCGTGGTGTTGATCGCCTTTGAAAAAATCACATGTGCATCTTTTTTTCCAAATTGCATGCACTCGAGACCATACTATTACCGATACAAATTACTACCCATGTGACTTTAAAACGGTCGCAATCTATTACTACCATTGTAAGGAATGTCTGTTGAATATCATGGCGACTAGACTTTACTGTTTAGTGCACTTTTTCCACCAAAGGCCTTGTTTACATGTTTTCTGACATGGGTTTTAGCATGGCATGCGCCAGAGTTGTAGACTCGAGTCGTGTGACTTGGATTCGAGTCGCAATTTTTGTGACTTGTGACTTGACTTGTTAAAGAGACTGATGACTTGTGACTTGACTTGGACTTGGACAAAATGACTTGTGACTTGACTTGAACTCAGACCAAATGACTTGTGACTTGACTTGGACTTGCAGGAAATGACTTGTGACTTGACTTGGACTTGCAACATAGGACTCGTTAACAACTCTGGCATGCGCACCTGAATTAAGGTTATATCCCAATGTTTCATGCACGAACATGCTTCACATTTAGCTAGAGCTTAAATTGAGCGCAATCTTAAACCTATACCTCTAACCGTAAACTGGGCAGGAAACATGAGGAATAACCACATGAAAACGGGGTCATTGAGACATGAGTGAAAAAATTGTACAGTCTATTGCAAAAAAGCAATCTGACAATTTCCGTATTTTTAATACGCTGGTTCCAAGCATCGCTGACAAATACTGGCATCGAATATCGCATATAATTGATGCGTACAGAATCTGTTATCACTTTATGCTCTAACGTTCATTAGAGAATTTTCAATATCTTTAATTAATGCTTTATGATATACATGTTCTTTGCGCATTAATCGCTATGTACAAGAATGTTGTACAAGAGTATATTTGCGGCTCAAGACTACTGTCTACTGTACGCGTCTACGCCCAGTAAAAGTTTCAGAACTTTTAGCATTTGGGATAGCATTTGTAGAATGTTGTGTAATGTTATCAACTGTTTTATTTACGCGAGAAATATGAAAACTGCAGCTCCACAATGTTCTCTTAAATAATGTTCTCGATAATAAAGTTCTCTTATTTTCTTTTCTTCTTCTTTTGAGTTTCTGCTATAGGCATTTCTGCGTCCACTGACTAGGGTTGGAGGCTAGCTTCTCTTTTTATATCAACGGTTATATTAGGGGGAACTTGTACACGTTCCTGAAAAAGGTGGGCTGATTCCACTGTGGCCAATCAACGTTGAGTAATTGATGTACGGTTAACGGCTCGTCCAAGTTCTAGAACTTTGCTTACACCAGGCGTTGTCCAATAACGTAAATTGTTTTTTTTATGTTCAAAACTAACGTTACCTGGGATCAGGCTCTATTTTAAAAATAATAGCCTGATACAAACATTAATCTGATTGCTTTCCACCCCCACAGCAAAGTTTATATTTAGTATCCAATCAAAATGTCGCAAAAGAAATTTTTAAAGGGTATGGGCAGCAAAATTTTTTATTGATTTTATTGCTTCATCTGAAAGAGCATGAAAAAATAAGCCGAATGGCCGTTTACTGCTCTATTCTATCTCATCTGGTTCCAAAGTTATACGCAAAAATGTGCAAAATATAAATTGCTGATTCAGCACATTCTGTGACGTCATAAGCTGGATAAGTATGTTTATTGAATAGTAAACTAAAGCATAGCAGAGTTATTATTGGCTCAAATCAAATGAAATTTTGCATACAGATAGTACATGATGAGATACATGTACATGGGAAAATACTTCTAATTTCGTTGTCAAGGCAACACAGTCGTTCCCAGGCCCCTTACACTGATTTTGAATAACTAGTTGCATTATTCTATGTGTATGTCATTTTCAAATTATTATCATGCAAGTAAACTTTTGGCATGCATAGGTATCATACACATACTTCTGATATTATTTTGTTTTTATCAGTACCTTGAGTAAAGCTGTTTCATAAAATTGGCGCAAGGGGCCTGTGAACGACATTGTTACCTTAGCAACAAAATTAGAAGTGTTTTTCCATGCGTCTCATCATGTACAATCAGTATGCAAAATTTCATTTGATTTGGGCCCATAATAACTGAGCTATGCTTCAGTGTAGTATTCGATAAACATACTTATCCAGCTAATGACGTCCCACGTTGTGCTGAATTAGCAATTTATATTTTGCACATTTTTGCGTATAACTTCGGAACTAGATGAGATAGAATAGAGCATTAAACGGTCAATTGGCTTATTTTTTCATGCTCTTTCAGACGAAGCAATAAGATAGATGAAGCAATTTTTGTTGCTCATACCCTTTAAATTTCACACAACAACAACAACAATCTAATTATAGTTGTGATCACTACAAACTAGAAAATACATGCATGCAGAAACCCTCGCCTTGCTGACAAACCGTTGTATTTTCCGAACATGAAGTATCTAAAGTAGTTGTCATGGCAACACGAAAATTTTTTAAGAATATTCTTACAAATGAAAATCGCCTAAAAATATCACTTTTAATTACAAAATTATCAATTTCCCAACATATATATGTTAGGTATGTAATTATACGTAATACAAGCTTCAATTTAAGGTAAAATTCAACCACAAACAATTCACAAAACGTTTTAAAGTGTTCTTTATAAAACTAAACTGCCTTTAACTATTAAACGGCTTTATCGATAAACTTTGAGTTTGCAATAAAATGATTTCAAATTCTCGCTTGCAAATAACTTTGCTTTATTTTTTATTTAAAAAATTCAATATAATAAAAAAGGGAATCAATATTAAAGATACATTGAAATTATATGCTGTCTTGTTTTATAGTTGTTTCATATACGCAAAGGCCGTCGGGTTTTAAAGCCATTATAAAATCAATATTTAAAACAAACTTACCTTCGTTAACGTCGGCTCCCTTCTTTTAGCTGATTCTTTCGCCCTTTCTTTCTTGAAATTTACAAAATCTTGCAGAAATACGAGCAAAAATGAAGAATATTCGCAAGAAATTTATCAATCATCAACTCATCAAATCAAGAAATGTTTGCTATTTCGCTGTCGTCATGCAGTCGTTATAATGCAAACTTTAAATTGGACCAATCAGTGTCCGTTATTCATGACAGTCCGCCATATTTTTGAGATCAGTGAGGATGACCACCCATCGTTGGTGACCGACGCCCGCGCTCATTGATGAACTTTAGACTTCGCTAATGCACAGAATAGGAACTTCCTATTCTGTGGCTAATGCTTTCGTTTCCCCGGGTGTAAATAGCCGGGGGGAATTAGTACCCTCGCACGGCGCTTCGCGCTGCCGGCTCGGGGAATGTACAACAACAATAGTATAATCTAATTAGCACCAACCAATCAAATGACAGATTAAAAAATCGTTTGTCTCATAGACCAATCGGATTTACAGCCGAAATTCAGTTGTACGGCATGGACTTTTGTTAAAGTTTGTATGCAGTTATTTCAATTAAGGTGGTCTTCCACCCAAATTTTCCAATATTTGTTATTTTTTAGAAAAACGTAAAAATGTAGTCTTTATAGCGTTCTTTATAAAATCCGTGTAATTTTAAGAACGAAAATGTACCGTAAACCAGAGAAATCCAGCAAATTCTACACCTTCGTAGGGTAAAACTACGATTTTACCCGGAGCGATAAAGATATGCGATTGGTTTAGTCTATTGTTCCATTTTCAATTATATTGTTCTAACTAAGTTATTCTAATATATGCAAAAACTTTAAAATCGCTTGTCTCACATGAGCATTTTGCGAAATACTAAAAACTCTGCTACTGTTCATACTGAATCAATTCGTTCGAAATTTTCAGAGTTTATTTGCTAGTTACATAGCCATGTCATGGACCTAAAAAACTTCATATATCAGCAATATACATTGCAAGAGTAGCCTTATAAGAACTCCTTTCTTCATATATCTTTAAAAAAAGTAAAATATGAAGGCCTTATTATATTACTTGTATATTTTTTAGGTTCATGACATAGATCGATGTATTAAGTGTCCATTAAAGCTGTTTCTAAAATCATCGGTAAATTAGTTTGGCTCACATCATTTTTGGAGCAAACCCTATATTTTACCCTACAGCGAGGCCTATCTTAGTTACTATGGCAACGACGAATGTAAAAGTTACTGATCCTGTGTCAGCTGAGGATATTCTATCATATTTGACTCAAATATGATGATAAAACCTTTAATTTGAAAAAAATGTGTTTAGGGTGGAAGACCCCCTTAATGTTGTCCACGAGCAAAGCGGAAATGTCGAATACGAGCGCGAAAGGCTGCTGGGAACCGCTTTGAAAATTCATTAATTTGTTAGCGATTCCCAGCAGCCTTTCGCGCTCGTATTCGACTTTTCTGCTTTGCTTGTGGACAACCTTAATTGAAATAGCTGTATACATAGCCTATCGAAGGGAAGATGGCTGTGAAACTCATAAGAATAACAATATAACTCATTATCTATGTTAGTCAACGTTTACTCATAAATCTGGTCCTTAATTCACCGTCATGCGTGTATTGTATTCTTGCCCAACTAACCAATAGCAATGTTTTAGGAAAGTCACCTATCCGTGCTCGAACAATAGGGAAACTGGAAATTGCTATTGGTAGATTTGGTAAAAATACAATACACACGTGACGGTGAAACGACCAGATTTATGAATAAACGCTGATTAACATAGATAATGAGTTATATTGTTATTCTAATGAGTTTCACTTTTCACAGCCATCTCCCCTTCGATAGGCTATGGTATATATCAGGCTTATTTTTTATTTATAGGCCTGATCGCAGGTTAGCTCAAAACAATCTTACTTAGTTTGTTATTTTTCTAATTAATCCTACATTGTTCATTAGGAAAATTTAGCACCTTTGCGAACAGTAATTTATCTTTGCAACTTATGCCAAATATACCCAGAAAATGCCAAAGCAAAATTCCGGTGACGTAATATCATAATTGTATGACCGAGTGTTTTATAGCTTTGGATGACTTATTTTTCAAGCCTTACGGCTGTCCACGTGAAAGTTCAATGTTCATTGAACCTCAGGCAGCTGCTCTTTTTAAACAAATCTGCCTACCAAATAAACTATAGGAAACAGCCAGGTCAATCAAATCTTACACTTTTATTACACATAATGGCAGCTTGTCTAACAAACTGTCACAGCCTAATGGAAAGAATCAGTAATGAATGTTATTCGAAGAACCGAAATATATTTACTTAATATATATTATCTCCTCTCATTTTGCATAAAATGATATTTCACCTGCGTTCAAACAAACGTCTTCTGTTTCTAAATTATTTTGTTTTTATGAATAATAAGTGCATAGAATGTTCTGTAACAAATACAATTATAGTAAATCAGTTGACGTGTATGATCAGAAACATAAAACTCTAGATCAGGACAGTTCAAATTTACATCCGTTGAAGAGATTTTGTTGAGGATAGCTTTTGTGATGGAAATCTCGTCAATGGAGTGTAAATTTTCCTTGTGATACATTTTGTGATGCGCCCAGGGACGTCGTGAAGCCATCAACATTGGGATGTCGTCATGTTTTGACCAACATTAGTAACATTTCCTAGGATTTTGACGAAGTCGTACAAATTTTTCTCGAAAATGTTGTCGACGGGGGGGGGGTGTAAAAAATTTTCCGGACTAACGTAAGCATAGTCAAAAGCAAGGTTTCCAACTTTTTCACCGCAAACATAAGAAAAGCTTTGAAATTGTTAAAATTGCGAACCATTTCATAATTTTGAGCAACTTCGACTATCTACATCTTTTATCCCATACTTTTATGACCAAATTTTTCCGAGTTTTACCTTCAATTTTAAACAAATATCTGTTCCATTTTGACCAACTTTGACCAACGTTTGAATTATTGGAGGGTTGTTACCGCCCCCCCCCCCCTATGGCGACGTCCCTGGAAGCACCCACCAAAAATGGAATGGCATTGGACATCTGGCAAAAATAGGAACTGCGGCTCTGTGATTACGATATAGCGATCTAACCAAATAAGATACAGAATGCAGTTATCGGGAGGTTTAATATAACCACAAGTCCATGTAATTATATCAAAGCGATGCCAGTGTAAAGTATATAGGTAAGTACCAGAATTCTGCCATCTCACTCGATATAAATCTAAATATTGCAGACATTTTGTATCCACCTCTATTTAACATTACAATGCTGTTTCCTTGCTGCTCCTCAGGTTTACTAGAAAATCACTAGTATAATCAAAGTCCGGTTTCTTGGGATTTCTTTTAAACCGATTCTTATACAAGGTCCAAATTTTTTTCTTCATTACAAAAGCAAGTGCGATGTAGGCGCCTTGTAGTGATGCGAAAATCACGAACAAGTACGAGAAGACAGGAGTTGATGTTTTCACGAGTAGATGGATGAAACCAAACAACCAACAGAATCCCATCAATGTGGATAGCTTGAGAAAGATCCAAAGCATTGTTCGATGACTTTGATCCGAGCGGATTAGTCTTGTGTCAGAGCGTAAAAGTTGGATACGAAATACAGTTAGAGCGAAGAATATGACATTGAAGGGCAGAACGAGACCCACTGGAAGGACGAAGAGATACTTTTGTGGTTGTATATTATCAAACCAGCAGAAGTGATCATTAACATATACTGCGTAAATACCTATCTGGTCAAACACTACGCATAGAGCAACAAGCACGGCTGGAAGACCCCAGACGATCGCCGAGTATTTGTAAAATTTCTTATTTCCACCTTTCTTTATTTCATTCCTTCGCCTTTGAAACTCTTCGCCTGTAAATGCCGAATGTGTATCCCACGCAATTGCTGCCATGGCAACAAATGATACGAGAAATAAGTAGTGTCTTGTAACTGCTACCACGTGACATAATATGGACGTGAACCATCCATCGGGTATTAACCACAGCAACTGCACCAGGAATAGAGAAATTGATAAACTTAGAAGGTTTTTTCCAGGCAGATTGCGAAGCTCGGGAAATATCAAATATGTTTGGATGACCAGAAATAAACAAACGATGGATAAAACGAGGCAAATCATAGTTAAATATGTTTTGATAAAAAGAGAATCGCTCAGTTGCAAAAGAATCAGCGTAGCTGGATTTTCGCGAATACACATGAAAATATTTCCGTCTTCGATATCGTACTCACCAAAATCGTAGATCGTTTTTGTTCTATGGAAAAAAATGCTCAAATTGTCAAACTTCATGTACTCCTTCGAGGTTAAATTGATTCGTCGTCCGACACAAGTTGAGGGAACAATGTGCTCACAAACAGAAATACTTTTGTTCGTATCCTCTTCAGAGAAAACTTGGCTTTTAGGAAACATTTTGTTTGTTGAATTAATGTAATAGTACTTTCCGTTTTTTACTGAAGTGTAGGTACCTTGCGAATATGTCTGTTTCCGAATGCAAGCGAGTTGGCGGGAAGTTGTTTTGATTACAGTAAATGTCTCGCCATAAACTGTCAAGTAAAATTTTCCGGAGAAGAACAAAAGTCTTTGAAGGGGAAAAATAGTTGTTATATTCTTTGTACCATTCCTTAAACGTAATACCGCATCGTCCGCTTTGGTGTAATTAGCTTTACCTAAACGTAAGGTCTGTTCGTTGGTCAGCTGTAGGTCAAAACGCACGACCTTTGTGAAACGATTTTTGATTCCTATTTCTCTTACTTTATTAACCTGAGAGAGTAATTCGAAGCTAAACAGTTGTGCTAGACAAGAAATGATTTCTTTTGTAATTTGCGGACCGTCATTGTGAACAGAGTCACCGACGTCAAGCCAGACGACAACATCGTACCTTTCAAGGTTTTGTTTTACTAGTGGTATAGTCTTACCAAGCCTACATATTTCAAGATACGGATCATAAAATTCTCCCGCTTTACTCGAGCAATATGTTTTTTGCACATGGCGGATAGGTGTACGCTCCGATACATCAAATGTGACAAGGAAATTAGTTGTAGCAGGTTGTACACGACCTCCTTGTCCACTAATTCCTACTTCAGAGATCGTCTGTTCATCATTGTTATCCAACTGAAGTGATGATAGGCATTGATTGTACGTTTTTGGATAATCTTCGAGATCACGAGTAAATTGACATAAAAACAATTTAGAAACGCATTTTTCTCTCATCGTTTGTTGACTAGGATCAGCCTGTGCTTGATATCGATAACAGCGCCGCAAAGTTTGATTACCCATTTGTAAAATGGATATTCTGCAGTATCTCGAAGCAAATTCAGCCATCTCAGTGACAGAGGTAATGAATACAGGCGGGACAATATCGCATTCTATACTTTTGGTGAAATATTCAAAACGCTCAATACCGTTACATTTCGCACAAAATTCGTTCCTGTAAATCAAATTGTTCTTATCTATCACCGGCACGAGATTTTGTAAAGTTGTTATATTCAATTGCACGTCATCAGCGATTTCACAGTTTCGTATTATCTCTTCGGATTTTTGGCCTCTTGGACATTTGCTAACTACCCAAATTGGATAGATATTAGAATACAAAACGACATAGTTTGGTTTTATACAAGAAAGATCTTGTTGAGAAACGCCAAACGAAATGTGCTGTTTGTTTCCACAATATATTCTGTAATCAGCGCAACAGTCGTTATAGAAAGTACAATGAGAATCGCAGAAACAAATGCTTGCATTATGATGGCAATGATTCGAACTTTTATACTCACAGCAGTCTTGGCATGATAGTTCAGGAATTTGACAATTTCCTGGCACACTAGTTGCGTTTGTCCAAGTTTTAAAATCTCTCCTTATTCTTCTATCATCTTTGTCCTCTGTAGAGTAACCTCGCTCCTTTTTTCTTTCAAAATCATTGATGGCATACTCTGCAACTCTACTGCTAGATCCAGTAAAACTTTCATTAATTTCGTTACTTACATTCATGAATTCGCTATTTTTTGTCAAATCGTTCTTCGGGTTAAACCATTGCCTCTCTTGCACCGAGCTTGTATTATGAACATCTTGACGTTTAACCTCATTGAGTTTTGAAGTATTCAAGCTTTCGTATTGCTCAAATGTTGTCAGGAAACAAAATATAATCGTAAGTTTGACAAAAGCCTTGATGCGGACCATCATATAGCAGTACATTCCCTGTCTCGTTCAAGTCTGACTATGATCATTTGTATTATAATTTCACCCTTACTTAATGGTGTTAATAATAATCAGATGTTGAAAGCAGTACTGATATATAATTATACGTAAGCTATACGCACGTTTTTGCATATTCAATAAATATTTCCCTGGAATATGTCAAAGGAGAATATTGAGATATATATTGCGCTCATGCATAATCCTGTCAGATGACAAGAATGCATGCTGACAAATTCAATATTAACCTTTTGCTTCGAAAAAGCCATTATCTCTTTGGTTAGCTGCAAATACATTAGAAAAACCGGCACTTGATTAAAGAAGAGTGAAAAAGTGGTCGAAAGTGCGAAAAGTCGACGGATAGTTTAAAAATGAGAATATTTAACGAAAACCGCCGAAATATTCGACAAATGTTGAAATTTCAGATCTAAAGCTTAATAAAGTATATACCATTTATATTGAATAATTTAGTAGCGGTTTCCGTTCATATTTTACATGCACTAAAAACGACAAACTGAAATAAGCATTGTCTTGATGAAACAACAATACTGTATACAGCAATTAAATTTTAATTTGCGGCCATATAATATTATGACACATGATTGAAACGAATATATACATATATATATATATATATATATATATATATATATATATATATATATATATATATATATATATATATATATATATATATACAGTGTGTATCAAAAAAAGCGCAATCCTCGACTGAAATGTAAATTGCTAAACAAATAATAGACGAACACGTTAAAGTTTACATTCATTTTAAAGTGTAGCCATTCAGCTTTCTAACAGTGGGTTGTTTCTTAAATTTGACTCATTGGTTCGCGGGTAATAATACTTTACGTTATTGCGATTGGAGATTAAAAAAAGTGAGATGGAATAACAAATCGTTCTCATGAAAATAACTGATTTTTTCGTTAAAACAAAAAAAATGTTGCATTTTATTAAATGTATTGTAACAATAAGTATAATTACGGCTTTTCTTCCACTATTTTTAACTCAGTTTGAAACTTCAAATGCGATATAATTTTGGCTTGGACCAACTAAATTGACTGACATAAACTTGCTATAATTTCTGTTTACATTACGTCGCAATTCGATGACACTCTGGCTCAGACATCAGAATGTTTTGACGATTTTTAGCATTCGTTTAGATTTTCAAACAACCTGGTCTCTTTTAAAATACTTTTAATTTGTTCTTACGTGGTTTTCCAGATGTAGTGACGACAACATTAAAGTTTAAAGAAGAGAATTCTAACATTTAAACTGACTAAACAATAACATAGTAAACTTGCATAATTAAACAGCAACTAAAAATGATAGGTTTTACTAAATCTTTTTCTGTACAATTATTACTAGCATTGGAGACAAGGATAATAGTTTGTTTGAAAGAGAAAAGAACAGGCTTTGAAGTAAGCCTAAAAGCGTTTAACTAGAAATA